TTTATTTTCATTCAAATTATTATTAATTTTCTGTCAAAATACGTGTAAAGGTAAAATATGAAACACGTTTGATCGTAATAAATTCATTTCTCTTGGTTAAAATAAAGTTTAACTTTTCTGAATAAAATTTCAACTTACATTAGTTAAAATATTTATAATTTGTCATTTATGAATAATTTTTCGATTTTTTCACATAATATTGGAAAAAAAACCCTTTGCAAAACTTTTATAAAATCAACAACCTATTGACGTACGTAAAATCAATTAGATTTCATTTAATCGTATTTGAATGCACAAGCATCATCGACAAATTTATAAAACCAGATGTGTTTCATATTACAAAATAATCTTAAAGAAAAATTAAAAATATATAAAAATGATTCGTCAAATGAAATTAATCGTTCCTTTTTTTTTGTTCCAGTTTGAAAGTTTAGAAGATTTAATAGTATAGAAGAATCTTAAAAGAACAGTTTCGAAAATGGAGCGTTAAACGGTTGCGATCATCGAGAGAAGATAGATCCTATTACCGAGTTTGCATATGGCACACGATCGAGAGAAGAGGGTAGTTTCTCCATCCATCTTCCCGATCGTCTTTACCGCAACCTCCCTTGCCACGTACTCACGCTACACCCCTTGGGTCCTCTCACCCTTTCATATTCTCTCTCTCTCTCTCTCTCACTCTCTCTCAATCGATGGCACAGTATGCGCAGCACATTGTAATCTATGAGCTTGGTAGCACCGAGCCAGCCGCTGGCAACGATGATATCAAATGCAGTGATCGAACCTCTGCTCGTGCCATAACCCCCAAGCCGTTTCCTAACGACAGTTGCCACGAAATCATCACCCACATCATCCACTAGAAGTTCCTATACATTTTCCATACAATCAAATAAAGTTTAAATAATTTTACGAAATTAATAAACACTTTGTTATAAAATATTCGATGATTTATATTAGTTTTTTTTATAAACGATTGAAAGATATTTTGAAAAATAAGAAAATCTATAAAATTATACAATCTTTTTTAAATATTATTAATAAATATTATTAATAAAATAGTAGTAAATGAAAATATCAGGACGGGTTCTATCGATCATCGTTTCTTATCTTCTCCCTCAACTCGTAACCCTTTGGTTTTATATATCATCCATCATCGTAACATTACACTTTCGTTTCCCATTTTCATGGTTAGTTGAAAAATTCTGACACCTATGTCAGTGAAATATACTTCGACTTTCACGATCGTTCTAATTAATAATAATAATAATTTTAATATATAAAAGGTATATATTTAATATTTATAATTCTTATTACTCGTAAAGTAATTAAAATATATTATTTGTTACGAATCAAAATTTGTAATATACATTATTGTTTGACATAAAAAAACTTGTGATTCGAGTTATCGTCTATCAAAGACTCCACCTTTCCTATTACTTTAGAAGATGGAAGAAGCTTATCTTCTTCTATGCTAGAGCTTATCGGGTTCCAACCATTTCCTTTCTTTTTCCATATCTTCACGAAACCAAAGGCGTTTTGTTTCGACCCAGCCACAGGAAATAGTTCTCCTCGCTAGTCCAATTTTAGGAAAGGTGGTACAATCTGTCGGCTTATCCAAACCAACTCGTCTGGCATCATAAAGGAAACATTCGACATTATGGTTATACTACAATACTGTTATCATTGAACGAATTTTTCTACCTTATTTACCCTACGGGGATATTATACTAAACGCGAAATAATCATTTTTATTAACGGTCGTAATAATGGGAAGTATGTAAATGTAAAATGTTCCATTAAAGAAAAAAAAATCTATGAGGGAGGAGACAAAAAATAACATAAATAATGTAAGTAAACATTCAATATATTATAGTAATTTTTCATACTTTTTTTAATGGATAACAGGTTCGCATATATTTTAACGATAATAAGAAATCTAAACACGTCGTAAGTAACAGTAACTTAAATAAACATCTGATATTTTAATATTCATTTTTAAATGGATAACCATTTGTATATATATTTTAACAATAATAAGAAATCTCTAAACACGTCAATTTTGATTTGTATCGGTAAAAAGGTAATAATAATATTTACCCCATCGACAAATATTACGTAAAAATCTTTCATCGAATTCTTTGCCACCCTGCTTTCGCATTTCTTCTTTTCCTTTTTTTCCRCCCCATCTTCTACTTCTTCTTCTTCCTTTTTTTTTGTCGGCTTTCTTATTCTCGTCTTTCTTCTCTCACAATCCTTTTCCATCCGGATGCCTCCGAATCCAAAAGAAGTCTCGCATCTGTCGATTTCCGCTAGCGCGATACGAGCTACGCTTAAATAACCGGTGAGCCTCCTGGCATTCGCTTTCCTACGAAAGAAGAGAATTTCTTCCTTCTCGTTTTATTTCCTTCTAAGGGAGAGAAAAAAAATAAGAAGAAAAAAAAATCTTATTTCTTTCTCTTTCTCTTCGCGTCTTCCCTATACTTCAAAGACGGAACCCTTTACGATCGGAGTGTAAAAACTGGAAAGCGAAAAAAGGATAAAACAAAAAAAAACTAATTTGATCAAAGATACATTATGATAAAATCATTCGAAAAATCTCCCGTAGAAAATAAATAATTATACTTTATCTGTAAGATAGGAAATCTTTATATGACGTATTTCAACTATATCGAATAAATAATAATAATAATAATATTATAATATTTAATAAAATAGAGATTTAACGTATGCAAGATTAAATGGAATGCTATAAAAAATGGTTTCAATGCTATACGAATTTACAACAGAAATGAACTATTTTCGCATATCGTTTCTAACTAAAAATACTTTCTCTATTAATGTATATTCCTATATGTTCATAATAATATTTTAATTGATTCCACATAACGTACAGTAAGATACACACACATATGTATTTTGACTCATTTATACCCCGTGACTCATTCTATTACTCATTTCATAAAGTGATCTTGAAAATGTCTAAAGATAATTAATCTCTTGCAAATCTATAATACACGTATTTCATTTCTTTTTTTCTATCCTACATTCGAACTACAATAATTGAATTTTACTTATACGTAAAATGAATATTAAATTTTTTATTAAAAGAAATATAAACGAATTTATTGGATTTTAATTCCCGAAGAGAATTTGTATTTTATTAAAAAAAAAGATTGTCATTTTACTGGAATATATTTGAAACGTATAAAACCGATTTCTTCAATATTGACATTTATCGTTCGATGACGTAGTTCGATAACCGGCCAAGTAACACGTGAAAATAGTCAAACTTTATTTGTTGAACGGTAATATTCGAGGGACTGCTAACAAATCCAACGAAAATACCGCTTGGTTCTATATTAATCGAGTTGTGCGGTGCCCTACAATCGCAGTCATGCTTGTTCTTCCATTACGTTAAACGCATCACGGCAAAATCTCCTACGAGGCATGTTACACGGCTACAAACGTAATCGTATTGGTGTTACCTATCCGTTCGTTTTAATTTGTAACGATCTCACGTCAATGATTGCGAAACTCACTCGAATCTCCTTCAACTAAAATATACTCGCTATATTTCCACTCGACTTCACTTTCCACTAATATATAACAACAACATCTGATTGTACATATTTATAAAAGACTATATATACGACGCTTACTTCCCGATTTTTTAATTCGGCTTGTCGTCATTTGTTTTTTTGTTTTCATCATATTTTATTTAAAATGTAAAAAAAAATTTGTTAGATTGATAATTTCTTCTTTTCTTTCCCTTCTTATTTGGTTTTTTTTCTTTTTTTGATTTCTCTTGACGAATAACAAACTAAATATTATATTAGATGTATCGTAAACAAACTAAAAAAGAAAAAAAATATAATATATTATTGAAATGAACAGTATAGGATACAGATAATCAAAAATGTGCTCACCTTTTTTTATTGAAAGGATAATTATCTCTTATGAGTAGCTTCATTGAAATATCTTTTCTTTTCCTTTATTTGATTATAGCCATGGAAATATTAGCTCAGGTACGTAGTGCAATTAATTCTACAATGTAACGTACTTGACGGCAGATAAAAGCTGTTATATCTTGTGTATAGAATGAAAATATTGACGAAACTGTGATTAATTAGGTACACGGTACGCATGGGACGTTGTTAACGTTGGCCAAAAACGATTACTCATAGGGAAATAATCGTTATCGTTATTACAATACAAGAAGAGCTTATTTTAACTCATGGTAAAAAAGTTTTCCTTCGAGATACAAATTTATATCGTGGTGGTACGATCAGAAATTATTCTTTGTTGCGAGAAAGAGCATGATCATTTTTAAATGAAAAAGAGATCAAGTAAAAGATGGTAGATTTACGCGAAAAAAAAGAAATAAAAATATGAAGCTTCAATTATATACCTTAGGATAAAACCTTTGATAAAGAAAGATTCTAATTTTGTAGACCGAAAATGTAGCTTCTCCGCAAAATTATCCTTTAGTTCTTCTCTACGATTACAAGTTAGGGAGAAAAGGGAAGCGCTGAATTTACGGTAATTTCGACGTTAAGAATCACAAAGAAAAAGAGGGGCATGAAAGTTCTTCATCGCAGAAGGATAGTAGAGACCTTCTATTCTTCTGTGGCTGTTACTTTTAATTAGACCGACTGGTCTATCTTACAGTGGTTAGTACGCACAACACCGACTTAGCAGCAATTTTTACTCATTAAACGAGAAAAAGATCCCATGGGAGATTTCTCTTTCCCCTTCCCTATATTGCAGACAAAAATCTCTAGCTAGTGTCGAGATATTCCAAACCCTTTTATATTTCTTCTAACTTTTTTTTTGTAATTTTATTCGTTGAAAAGAAATAGCGTTCGATGTATATCATTTGAGATATTTTTGTTGGCAACAATTTATGCTTGATTTTGATTTCATTTTCAATTTGAGATACCATCAAATTCGTACAAAAATCGAAATACAGAAGAAAAAAAAAATGTGAAAGAAAAACTCACCCTTCGACTGTTGCCATCTTTCGGATTCAGATCCGAGGCGACTGTTCCAAAAATCGTCGGCTGTAATAAAAGATAATAATTCAACTTTAATAAAACTTTTATCAATCGAAAAGTTGAATAATCTTAAAACACATTTATGTGTATAAGAATTTTTGTAAATATTATATTAAAAACAAAAATATTGAATTTTTTTTAATTGATGCGCGAATGCTTATACATATATGTTTATTATTTGTATGTACTTGGAAGTATAGAGTAATTAATATTGAAGGTGTAAGATAAGAATGCAGTAGTCGTTGCAACATGGAATTATACTGTAAAAATAATCACTCAAGTAGCTTTTAGGAGAAGGGAGGGGAGGATGCCCGCTTTGTTTTATTTCTGCCCGTGTAATTTCGTGAATCGTTATACTGCACGGCAACTGGTCATAGAGTACAATTAAATTTACCGGTTTGCATTTCGTGTATTTATCCCACATACATGTTAACTTATACTCTTGAACGCACATGCACACATATATTCGTATGTATTCGTACTTACGTTTATACGAGTGGAAATATTACGTCTTATCCGTTGCACTTTATTGTTTCGTTCGATTTAATCGACCAAGCCGATATAATTTCACGGATAACGTGCGACGAGCTTAAAGTTACATATGAAATGTCGTTTCGTGACAAATTCTACGCCAACGTATAATAATAATTTGTACCTTCTACCTACTATATATGACGTTTCAATGTGTACGATAAACGTATGAATAAACGACATATGGTATATCTTCGAACTCAACGAAGGAAAAACCATCGCAATTTTCTTCGTCCATCGTCATTATAGTACGCTCGCGATGTTTCTCGAGAGACTTACTTTACTTGACTGACTTACCCGACCGTCATTTTTCTTCAAGTAGAAAAATTATTAGGTTGAAACAAAAGTTCATGCGCTTATTATGTTGAAACTTTACTTTGAAACTGCATAATGGATTGTTTTTGTAAAATTTACTTTGGAAATATTCATTTTAAAAACGCACGATCTTTTGGTTCACCCTAATATTTCCCGTACAAACTTTTCGCGCACTTTCTGAAAAAAACGTAAGCCATAAAATCAGAAATAATTCCTATTATTTAATATATGATATTTTTTGATAGTCATAATTTTTCATTAATATAGTCAGGTTATTTTGCGTAAAACTTTACGGTTAATTACAGTTCGGTCAATATTTATTGTCAGTTTTATGTAAAATCGTTCTTCTGGCATTTGCATTAATTATTTTTTTGATACCAATATTCTCAAGCTATATTATATTGAATAAAAATTAAACGAGAAAAAGCGAGATAAACATGATACCTGGACGAATAAAAACGTGGGGGTTACATATCAAAATTATTATTAAATATTATATGTACGTATTGGTAATATTATAATTATAATTAAAATTAATATCATTATTATTATTATTGTTATTATTATCATTATGATAACAGATTTTACTGTAAGGTATAAAATAAATACAATTCCAGTTTAAACTCATTAACAAAGAGTAAACATAACAACAATTGCCACGTATACACATATAATTTCGAGCACATAATATTTGTACGGATAAAATAATTAAGATCGGTCGGTAAAATTGTTAAATAAATTTATGAAAAAAAAAAGAAAAAAATATCTGGCAATACAATTACGAAAAGATTAACTTTTCATTAACTTTTTAACGAGATACGTAATATATATATATTTTTTACTATAAGTTCTAAGTATATTATATAAAATAAATAATTTGATTTTTAAAATAAATTGGTTATAATATGTAAAATCTGAACAAGAGTAACAAACTTTTGGATAAATTCGTGCATATCATAAAAAATAAAGAATTAGGAAGGTTGTGCTATTTTTAATTTTTAAGTAATATTAAAGTATTATAATTTATTAGTAGTATTAGTAGTATTAAAATGATTTATTTGAATTTATAAGTTTTAAAAGAAAAAAGAAGAGAGAGAAAGATCTTCATGACGAGGTAACTCGTTGTTCGGTCCAGAGGGTTAACGGGTCAAAGTTGATCTAATCGATATTTAGTTTTCTCAAGCGTTGTATCTTCGTTGTAGTTGTCGTAGTTGTCGTAGTTGTCGTTGTCGTTGTTGTTGTTGTTGTCACCGTAGTAGTAGCGAGACAGATTACAGGGAGTTTGTGCGCTAGCGATAAATCGACCCCTCCACTTGGCCACTATGATCGATATATGTACATTCTTTTAGTATACAAGGAACGTTTTCCCGGGCAAGATGGTCACGATCATCCAACATAAGAACCTCCTCACCACGAGCTGTTTGTTTCTTTTGCTATACTCTTTCATCCTAACTGTCTCTGGGTCGTACGGTAAGTGATATATATTTTATATAAGGACGAGAAGGAAAGAAAAAAGAAAAAAAAAGAAAATGTGTCGAGGGAAGAATAAATCATCAAAGAGCTGTTGAAATAATTTCGTGTAACGAGAATTTCTGACCAGGTGTTGAAAAAGAATAAGAAGAGAGGAGAGAAAAAAAGTGTGAAAAACTCGATCACAGGTGTTTTACTTTATCCATTGACCGTGGTTTTAACATATTCCAAAATGGGAAATTTATGGGGGGTTTTGGGATTAAAAGAAACGACAATGGCATTTGGATATTTTTGGTCAGCTCGTTGATAGCGTTATTTTTTTTTTAATATATACAACACAGGATATTCCGAACACGTTAAGTAAATGGTGGTAAACGAGTGGTCAGTTTTTGTACAAGACTAGTTTAATTTATTTATTATTCATATAATTCATATTCGATGTGTAGTGTGGAGTAAACGTGTAATTTGATGTCGTTGTTGTAACAAGTAATACAATATTTTTTTTTATTCGGTTTACAGTAGTGGTACGTAACAATACGTGTGCGTGTATGTGTGCGTGTGTTCTAATAAATTTACGATTAAAACAGGTGTGCCTTGATTAAAATCGATAATTTTCGGTAGTGTAGGTGAAAAAGATTACCTTTTGTTTTTCGTTCGACCACTAGAAAACATTTATACCTTGGATAAATATTATTATTCACATATATCAGATTGAATTTTACGATCGTGATAGGGAAATATGATATGGAATGAGTCACAGTGTTCCTTGAAAAGTCACGTACAAAAGCTTCTAAAGCGTAATGTCTCCTTCGAAAGATTACAGCGAATCTTAGTAATGTAATTTACGATGTAACGGTCAGTTCTACCACATAGATCGAAAACGAACAAGAAAAAGAAAGAGGAATAAAAAGAGAAAAGAGAAAAAAAATAAGAAATGAGAGAAAAATAAACCAATCGATACGGTGTTATCCAATGGAGGCGAAATCCACGCTGAATTGCTTTCTTCTTATCTCAATATACACTTGGACGGATCTCTACCGGTGCAAAGCTTCTGCTTACAAAAAAGAAAAAAAAGAAAAAAGAGAAAATAGGAACAAAATATAATTCCCTCCCTTTTTGTTTCATATCTAAATCGATATTTCCTGCGGTACGTTTTAGCTAAACGCATACGATGATTTCATTCGATTATTTTCATTAGAAGATTTAAAACTGTATTGCGAACGATGGAATGAGAAAATTTTTCTTCTAGAAGATTGACGGATATAACAAAATTATCAGCTATTCGATAATCGATCAATTTAACTAGTTTTTTCGATATTTAAACGATATTCGCAAAATTCGACAAATAACCACAGACGATTTGTATTATTCATGAACTCTGTGATGGCCCAGCTTAATTTTGAAACCCCCTAGTTTAAAGAATATAAAATAATTACTGATGTATTATTAACCCTTTTCGGACGTGTGTCTACTCTCAGCCATCATAGCCTTTTTACCGTTCCGGTCGTACGTCTGCTCTTAGCTAATTATATATATATTTTTACGTAATATGTATTTTACATATTTATGTAAACAATTATGTATTTTACATAATAAATATATTATATATATAATAAAAATATATAAAAAATATATATCAATTAATTCCGACCACTACGACACCCATGTCCAAATTGAATACGTCCGAAAAGGGTTAATCTAACCTTTCTATTATAAATAACTATAATAGACTAGTGAGATATAGGTACGTGACGATCCAACTTCTCGAATAGTTAATTGAGCGTGAGAAAGAGAGACTAGAATAATTAGGTAATGTTCTTATCGGACGACATACTAAAATATACCCATGAAAAACCTGATTTTCTTCTATCAGGGAATGCAGTGATTTTACTTAATCGTAATGTATGTTACAGGATCAACATTATTAAGTGTTGGGAAAGATATTAATAGGTATACCTTCCCTTCTCCTCCAATTTTCTCCACTTTTAACCGTGACATTACAATTAAATCTTCATTTACGCAAAGTACCGTACTACCATTAACAATAAGTGTTATCATACAAGAAAATATCTTTCGTAGGTAGTTATAGTTTGTACGCTTTGGAACAGGAAACGAAGTCATCTCTCCCCTGGCCACCCTCTTTTCCAGTAAAGCTCCACCCTTTAACCTTTTCTCACCTAACCTCGTTATATCTTTCTCCTCGTGATTCGTTTATTTGAATCGTCAATTCGTAAGTTTTTAATAGCGATTCAATGTTCGTTTCAATCGTTGGTATTACGTATATTCGATTTATTTATTAAAAAAAAAATGTATTCAACTATTGGTTTGAAATTCATTTTTTGTCAACGCTTTATCCGTATCCATTTGTCCAACTATTAGCGATAAAACTCTGACGTAATCCCGACGCAACCCAGACAAAATAATAAAACGGAGATAAAATAATAAAAATATGATTCGAATGTATGATGAAAATGTAATGAATTCCAACGGCAAAAAAAAATAAAATAAAAAAAAAAACAGGATTAAGCAGTTGGATGTCGAATAGAGAGAGAGAGAGAGAGAGAGAGAGAGAGAGAGAGAGAGAGAAAGAGGAATGTAATTGGTACGAGTTAGTACGTGGTCCTTTCGTAATAGTTATCACGCTTTTATCTATTCAATTACGGTTCGTGCTTCGGTGACAATTAAATATCGCTAAACTGCCACTCTACTCTCTCACTCTCTCTTTGACCAACAACCAACCTTGTAACGATTGCGATCGCCATAGTCGCGGACAGAGATTCCAAACGAGAATAGCCGGTCGATGGTAAAGCTTGCAGGCAAATCGTTTCGACGGACATTTACGAGCTAACACATGATTTCGTACACGTACGTAAATGCTACGACGACGACGAGGAGGGTTGCACCTTCCAACCAACCAACCAACAACGCTAACAACCAACGACAACACAACACCAACACAACAGCTGAAGCTAACTACGTAAGCACGCGTACCGCAAAATACGTTCGTGTCGTTCTCATCGGCTAAACACCGACGATGACTCGATGATTTGCGAAACGCGTAACGAGTAATACTCTTCAGAAACAGAAACAGAGAGAAATTCATAGATCTACAGAATAATACTTGGAATTGTGATAATATGCAATTATATCTGGTAGATATTTCAGTACATCTACGTGAAAGAATAAGAAAATAGTTAGTTAGTAAAATAAATGATATTTTTTTATACAATTATGTTCTATTTATACTAAACACGTTCCCTGCCACGTGCACCGGTTTTGGTACACACTAAAATGCATTTATATATCAATCCGAATTTTTTAATTTCAAATTTTTTCATCTAAAATTAATTGCTTATAATATATTGATTATTTTAACAAAATTCATCGCTATATGAAATCAAATATAGAATATACTTTCTATTTTGTATTTACTTTTGTACATAACTTTTATATCAATTATTTAAAATAAAATAAATTTCATTTATTAGTGTTATTATGCGCATTTAGTGTCGTTTTAATATTTATAATTATAAAAATAATATATATTCTCTCTAAAATAAGAAAAAAAAAAAAATATTTCTACAAAAATTATTACATGTAGTTTAGTTAGAAATGACATCTCCTCATAAATAGCATGGCAAGAAACGCGTTAATAAAGAACAACGTAAGAACTTATATCAGTTACAAAAATCGCTCTTTAAAAAATAAAAAAAGAAATAATTTTCTCAAGGATAACTGCGAATTAGAATGATTGCTGTAGATTTAATCCATTTACTATTACTTTAAACGAGCATCGAAGCGAAAATTTCAAAGCCGAGTAGACAGAGAGTTGTGTCTGGGCAATGAAATTTTCCGAATTTCCTAGATCCTACCGAAGAAATTCGGATTGAATTTTCCGTTTGACGAGAAATTCAGCGTAAGTTTTAATCTTGTAGACTAGGTAGAACGCGATCGTACGACACATGATCCATTAAGTGGCTCCCTTTGATAGGGATACTGCAAGTAGAGCGCTCACGTAGCTCTCGTAAATCTTCTCCCTTAGTCCTTTTTTTCCTTTTTTTTTCTTGTTTCTCTATCTCTTCGCTCTTTCGCTCTTTTACTATTTCTATCTCATTCTATCTTCACTACTCTTCACTGAATTATTCCACGCTCTCTTTGCTCTCTACGAAAGCACGCAATTAATCGACCTTCCTTTCCCTTGACACAATCTACCCTTCCCCACTTCTTCCTTACCCTATCCTACCCTTCTTTCCTACTTACCACCCCCCGTTTATTTGAAGACGACGCCTTTGATGCTTATTTTTCTTTTTTTTCTCTTTATTTACAGATTACTCTACGTCCGAGGTGTTCGACGTTGGCGAATTCGCAGGAGAAAAACGCGACAACGAATGTTTGTCGAATCACAGAAGAAACTTATTAAAGAGAAATTATGTTTCAAGGTTGTACCAACTTCGTTAACATATTTAAATCTCGTTTCTTTTCTTATTATACTCGCTATAATGAAACTTACATTTTCTTCAGTTTCAATATCTTATTTCGATAATTTCAATTTGATTTTTTTTCATTATCATCTTACCGGAAAGTTTTTTGTGTTTTTCTTTTCTTTTTTCGTTGTTTTTAGTAATACGCATCGAATAATCGTAAAATTGAATTAATAAGTGTTACAAGTGAAAATAAAATAGTGTAAAATCGTATATAAAACGTATATTATTGAAATTGTAACGCAGAAGTAAGTCAAGGTCGACATTCGAAGAAAATTCAGCTGGAGAGGTGGAGACCGAGAAAACGAATCAAAAGATACAAAGAAAATGGAAGTCCCAAAGAAAAAGAAAATTCAAGAGATTCGCAGTTCCTGAAAGCATCGAGAAGAACGCGACCAGTACCATCAATAGCACGGAAGACTTCTTCAATGCGGTAAAGTCAGAAAAGTGCATTTGTCCGTGAAAATGTCCAAGTAAAAGAGAGAAAAGATAAAAATCGAAAGGGATACCTTCGAATTCGTTTCCTTCGACTTCGAGAATTCGACCTTATTTTCCTTTTCTTTTTTTTTTCTTTTTTTTCTTATTCTTTTGCTGCTTCTACAAAACTTTCGTTTCTCGAAAATAAGTGTAACAAAAAAAGAAACAAAAAATATATATATATAAATTGATCGAATTGTCGTACTATCCAATTTCAGACAAATAACACGTCTACGAAACCAGCCAACGAAGAAGAAGGAGAAGAGTCTTTGAAAGTAACAAATTCAAGAAACGAACGGAACAATAGTTCGACAAATGTAATGAATCTTAAGCAGGAAAATAAGACATCGGAAAAAAGTGAAGGACGGAGTCCTGCAATTTTAGGATTTCGTCGTATGGCACCCGTGGCACTTCCCATAAACTCCGGTCGAAAAATTCGTGAAAGGTTTATGAAGAAAAAAGTCGTTACGAAACAGTTTCCCGATGTGGACTTTACAATAGCCGAGAAAAAGATTTTGAAGAATCTTTTGCATCAAATTGATCGTCACTTTAATCGTTCGAATAAACTAAAAAAAGATCGGATAAAAGAAGAAGACGTTTCTTTGTCGGAGGAGGACGAAGATAAGGAAAATGAGGATGAAGAGCCGGAAAATGAATACGGGACTGAAGTGAAAGATCCAGAAATTGAGAAGGAAGATGAGGACGAAGAAAAAAATGAAAAGAATGGAAATAATAAAGAGGAGGAAAATGTAAAAAGCGAAGATAAATCAGAAGAAAATAGGTTAAACACGTCGATAGTGTCGTCCTCTTCGGATACAGAATTGTTTGAAATAATTCCCGATATATTTCTACCAAAAAGAAACAACGGTATTATCGAAGGTAAAATTTTTCCTTGGAAAGCTCTGACATCGAAAAAATATACGAAGGAAGTTTCGATGCAGGAAGGACCTAATAAGAAACAAACCACTAAGGAAACCAAATCCAAACTGAGTTTCCTTTATGTGACCGATCCTAACACCAAACCGAAAAGTAAAGAAAAATTAGAAAATCCTGTAGAAGTATACGATATGAAGATTGTATTGAAAAATCACGAAAATGATAATAAAATCTTACCTTACGAAATGATCGAACAAAATGTATTGGACAATAATGACGTAAGTGTGAATAATACGATTTATACTATGCTCTATACTACTCCCCAATTTTTAAATAAAATTTTAAATTTGGATTTATTTTAAATTTATAATATAATTACGAACAGATCATTTTTTACGAAAAATTCTTTAAAATATTTCATCAAAATTTGTTACCAATAAAATATAGAATATCAACAAAAAGAAAAACAATTCTTCATATCTATTTTCACACTTTATAAGCACTTTTATTTTTAAATAAATAAAAGTAGAAAATAGTTATTGATCGTCGAATAATGAAAAATAATATCTTAAAACGTTTGTATAATCCTCATCGTTATTCTCTTTAATACAAAAATTCATCGGCTAATACTTTGTGGTTTTTCATTAAGTTTTTACATTTGAATTTATCTCAGATTTAAAATACAACAATTCTTTTGAATATTTTTAATGAAATATCTGTTATGAATAAAAATATCGAATATCAAGAAAATAACACACTTTATCTCTAAATTTCATACTCAATAAACACTTTTATTTTCCAATAAATAAAAGTAAATAATAATAAGATCACAGGATAAAGGAAAAGATAATATTTTAAAACGTTTAATTTTGTATAATCCTCGTCGTTATTTTCTTGAAGTAATAATTCGAGCTTGTTCCCTCCTATCTCGTCTCCTATCTCAACTCGTTTGTACATCGAAAAATCTCTCGCTCGTTTCTCTTTTTTTTTTCTTCTTCTATTTTTTTTCCTTCTCTATCGTCGACTTAGTCTACGCGATAGAGATGGGTACTTCTTGTAGTCGTAGCTCGGTTCAACGAGGAGACATAAAAGCGAAAGATCTTCTCGGGTAAAAGCACGCCGAGGAATAAAACTTTGCTCTGGCTAGGATAAGCCGCGAAAAGGATCGTTCCTATGGTCGGAATCCTTTGAGACAGCGATAAATCCACACGTTATACAAAAAAAAAAAGAAAGTCATTGAGATCTAGCCCAAAAAGCTCGATAAATCGTAAATTAAGTCCTGTTAGTATTATTATTATTATTATTATTATTATTGTTATTTTTATTTGAAAAATATATTTTTGGAAAAGTATTCGAAAACGAGACGAATAGAATCAATTTGGACAAGGGAGAGAGAAAATAAACGTGTGTGTATATATATAATAAAAGAAAATACAATCTCGATAGGTCACGTAAAATATACCACAGGAAATTCACCTATCAGAACTCGAGCAGATTCGAAGGTGCAATCTCGAATGCGAAGAGTCGGAATTTCTCCACGTAAAATGGTTTTCGCGGAAAGAGTCGTAAAAGATTGTCGCTTCCTTCTTCAAATCACCCTATTTCTTTCAGATATCGTAACAAACCTTCCTCCTCCTCCTCCTCCTTCTTCTGTCGTTTTCTAGTAATGCCCCGTTACAAATTTATGCTGTCACTCTCTTTTGGGATTCCTTCATTTTTCTTGTCGATTCAAATTTATTTACGATCACAGTTATCAATTTTTTTGTTTTAACTCAATTGCAAACAATAATTCATAAACTATTTAAAATAATCGTCAGTGAATTTTATTTTTTTAGTTGAAATAATTATTCAAATTTATTTGAAATAAATCTTTCGATAAAAATATATTTGAATTTATCGGTTCACACCGAATGACATAGATAAATGATCTTTTTTTTTTTCAAGAAAAATAAAAACCGCGTAAATCGGTTAAAACGTTTCTAATTGAAGATAAAACAATAATGAAATCAAACGAATTTCGAGATAGAAATAACATTTATACGGTTTTTGAATTATTTTCGTATCAGTGTTAACAAAATAATGTTTTTTTAAATATGCACAGACAGATCAAATATTATTTTATAACATGTGAGTGGAAAATTCAATTAGAATTAACAAGGGGAAAATTATTTTTGACGATTCAGGAAAATCTAAAAAACTATCCTAAAATAACAAAATTTTTGACGGGGCAAAAATATTGTAAAATAAATATTATTGTTCCTTGAATAACACGATGAAAAAATTCTTTCATTGCTCGTACAAATACGCAGAAATGGATCGGTAACTTTAAGGGTCCTGAACTAACACTGTTTGAGGACCTACACATTAAACCTAAGTTTGATTTGGTTGTGATGATTAGTTAACCATTTCGTAGAAAACTTTCAATTAAAATTATTGAGATAATTTAATTAAAATCATCAGAAAACTCAATACAGTTTCAGAAATAAAATAATAAAATATTTTTTAGACCAAAACAAAACGTTTAATTAGATGCTTGGTTCTTTCTCCCAAAGAGAGATAAAAAGAAATCATAAAACGTTTGCTTACTAACTACGAATTAAATATCCCTATAATTTATAAATTATGTTCATACTTTTTGTTTCCATAGTTAAGTAAAATTACGATTTGCGTAATAAATTATGTTACTTTCTTTTGGTGTATTTCGTCTGAAAATCTTTTTATCTGTTTCTCTTATTCTCGTATGTATAATGGTAAATACCTAGAATGGTACGAAAGGGAATGTGAAATAGAGATAAAGGGAGAAAGGAAGAAAGGTAATTAAAGAGGAAAATAGAGAAAGGATGAGAGAAACACTATGAAAAAGAATTTTATCTGGTGTCGTGCAATTTCCGGGCCATTGTACAAAAGCTTTGTTCTTGTCTCTTCACAAATATGTATATCCGTTATATGTAGACACATATATGTATATGTAACTGTATCACCACCACCACCACCACAACCATCACCACCACCACCACCACCACCATCACCACCACCACCACCTCCGCCCTTGGCGGAGCACGATAATAATTATGTTCTACTGGTGCGTCTAGCAATGTCTTCTCCTGTAATTACATCCGACAAACGATCGGACCCCATAACGTACGTCCCATAATGTCACGTCATTACACTATTATGGTAATGTTCAAGACACAAGGTAGGTATAACCTTATGACACATTTGTACCAGATGTTTCCAATCTAACCGAAGATGGTTAAACCATTTTCAGCCATTGATCGAACCTTCAAAAGATTTTACAATAACTTTTGTCCTAAATTCTTATCATTGAAAGACAACATTTGACTGGAAGCTGTATTCACATAGGTGTGTCCCAATACTGAGAAATGATTAATGTAAGATAGAGAAAAGATACACGTATTGATAGATAATACCTTAAATCTTACTCGTGTAACACGGTATAAGATTGAGTCAGTGAATATTTTGTTTAAGATTGAATAAAGAAAATAAATATTTGTTTTGTTTACTTAACTCTTCATAATATTCAAAATAAAGATTTTTACAAAACTTTTAAAAATTAATTTAATTTTATTGTTCATTTGACTTACATATGAGTTAGGATGTAATCACAGCGTTTCTCGTGTAAGGATTAATTATAAAGAATAGTCGAATATTTCTATAAAAATTGTTTAAGCAGATGATTATTAACAAGTATGTTTTAAAATGTTTGATCATAATTTAAAAGATGGTCATACGATTATATGAAATTGGTTATTAATTTTTAACGAAAACATCTCAGAAATAATGTCCACATATTTATAATCACCCTGTTGTAAAGTTGATCCAAAAAAAATTACATTTTATTATTTTACATTAATACACGTATATATATACAAATAGTATATTTTATAATATTTATATTTGTATTATTTTATAATAACAAAGATTGCATAGAGTATTCCAAATAATCTTATTAAAAATCTCGTTAACTATTCATTTTTTAATAACTAATCATAGAATACATAATAATACCATAGAAACTATGTTAATGAAGTGAGTATTATAAATGGACATTTAAGTCTTACGAAAATTCAATTTACTGAGAACGACCGAGGGAATAATCGTTCGTTCGTACGTTCGATCGATCGTAACTTATCGTTAAACCGTAACGCACATCAGTAATCGATTATTTCGTGCACATTCGTTATGCCAAATGGTTGAACGTTTGGTTGGTTAGGAGGAACACGATGGGACAATGAAATTCCATCGAGTCCACGTACCCGATTGAATATCTCGGGAGTATGCTTATCGTTGCTAGCACGTTTATGCAAACAGTATTTCGTTAATACACAGGTGGGTCTCCTTTCTCTATTTCTCTTTTTCTTTTTTCCAATTTTCGTTTCTCAATTGTTCCCTTGATAAAGAGTAAAAGAAAAAAAGAAAAAAAAAAGAAAACCTCGAACTAAGCCAATGGGGAATAATAGAAAGAAAATGTGGGGAAAGAAAGGGATAAATGAAGTGCGGATTGTACGTTGGGGAACTAGTGGTTTGCTCTGAAGAAGAAGAAGAAGATGATGATGATGAAGAAGAAGAAGAAGAAGAAGAAACGATTAACGTGAAAAAGATTACTATACGGGACTTCGCAAAAACTACTTCGATATTTTTCTCCATGTCTAACATAAGCAATATCGATTACTACGTGAACCACCCCATCTTGATTTATCTTACCTTTTCAATTGTAAGAAACAAAACGACAATTTTAAAACTGACTTTTCTCTTTTATAGATTTACTATTATTATTTTATCTCTCTTAACTTCCAGAAGATTTTTCAATCCCATCAAATTTTTTTTCTTTATAATATTAAATAATAAAAGTAAAGAGAGATAGAGAGAGAAAAACGAAACGTTGGATAAATTAATAATTCGTTAAAAATATATATATATATATATTAGGGTGGGTCAACAAAATGACTTATTGTTTTTTTTTCAAGTGCCACAAAAAAATGGGTTGCTAGACACTTTAACCCCTTAACCTACAACTACGGGCATAGCCCGTGTACAATGATCGGGCCAAACTTAAATATTACGGGCATAGCCTGTAGTATGATAATAACAAAATTTATGTTTTGCTCGATCAGTGTATTACTCAAGTCGTGCGAATGGCTCGAAGGCTGCGCGAACTTGTTTACGTTTTCGGCCCTAAATTCTAGAACATAAATCGTAGGTTAAGGGGTTAAAACAATTCTCACCAAATATGAGCTCTTAATTTTAATAGGAAGATCCTACGCATCGCAGGTTTTTATTTTTTTTTTTTTCAGTCTAATAGATTAAAGTTCATACCTCATTATTTATTGATTGTACAGAAGAATGTTCTAGACGAAT